GGAACAAATATTTGAAGGTGTTGCATGGAGGTGGAGTGGAGGAGTCTCAGAACCTGGACCAGAAGCTGGGAGAGAAACTTTGGGATTAGCCTTTGTAGACCATTTACATGCACAAAAACCTACACGAAGGGGAAAACCCCAAAAAAGCATCATATTCTTGCATTATTGCGTTTGCCGATTGAAAACATTTGTACTTAAAATTCGGTCAATTTACTTACGATGGATCAACTGGCCGACAGACCTTTGTTCATCATCTCATTATTAAGGGATAAAGAAAAGTGTTGTCATGACATCTGAGTATCCTAGACCAATACAAAAATTCTGCATTACACAAGCATTAAACATGCATTGCATTGTTAGAGACAACACCAAATCTCTTCACTCGTCCTCCGCTATGAAGTGTGGTGTTTCCACGGTGATGAGAAAACACCTCAAAGCTAATACGTAGCAATGTGTTTGAGCTGCAGCTCACTGATACATAATGCAGGGACAGTTAGAGGAGTGGACAGCAGGGGTTCACAGGCTGCAGTGAGGAATGGGGAAGTACATACAGAGAAAGACGGAGAACACGCAAAGATAGAGAAAAAAAACAGAGAAGAAGAAATGACTCTTATGCTGGCCAGAGATGTGGTGTAAAGCTGTTTGGCAGCTGCAACATGTTCAGCAAGTACTGCAGGACTTTGAAAAGACAATTTGACAAGACAGGCCTGCAGCTTTTCATCTCAATGACTTATACAATACAGCTTGATGAAACGTTTTTGTTTGACATCAGCCATTATAGATAATATGGCCATCTGAGTGTGTGTGCTACTGTTTGTGGTTTGTTGTTCACTTTGTAATACAGTTAATTATTCAAAATGTTAGAGTTCCTTATTGTTATACGGAAACTTGCACTACTGTTCAAAAATAAATAACAACAAACCTGGAATTATGCATTTGGGACTTTTTTTTTGCTTTTTCTTGTTGTACCGAACCGTGACTCGCAAACAGAGGTACGTACCGAACCGTGAATTCTGTGAACTGTTACACCCCCATGTTTGACACAAAAAACGAAAAATTCAATATACTCAAAATGAATGTTGGATAAGGCAAAGTCTATCACAAGTTATTTTACAAATGAGTGCATGTGTGATAGTCCTACTGTTGTTGTAAATCATTCAGCTGAATTCACACCTTGGAAACTCTAATGCAACCACGTGCACATCACTGCCCCTTAAATGGAATATGATGCCTATTATCAGTTTATCAACGAGACACTGGATGCATTTGGGGGCCATTACGGGGCAAACTGACACTGAGGCTGGAAGAAAATCCAGACGAACTCCAGCTAAAACAGTCCATAATGTAAAAAGAAACATGAGGAGACAACAAACACCTAAGTTAAAAACTAATAGGATGTGAGTATATACAGGGGAATACATCCAGCCATTGTCTATGCTAGCATGCTTAGGCTAACACAGAAAACACATCTCATGGAATCTAGAGAGTAGAAATAAGTATTCACAACTACCTGATCGAAATATGTAAATGTTATGGATATTTACAGATGCTTTTCATTAACTTGTAAATAATATTTTTTTGATTTCACAAATCTTTAGTTTGCATTTGTAAAGGTGTTAACACGGATTGACAATCTGTCCAGACAAATAATATTGAGACAACTCTACCTCCGTATCCAAATACAGCATGTATCGATGTACTAATATTGTTTTATGGCCAAATGCCTGATAACATAACCATCTAAGGCTGTGATTTGCACCAATAATTTAACTTCCCTGAGGTCAAAACACAGGTACAGGTATTGAGGTGTTATGTAGATGAGGTGTGTCTGGTTCACTGCGCTAACTGAAGTCCGGTTGTATCACATATGCTGCTGGACAGTTTGTTGGATAATCTGCATGAGAGTTCTCAGCTCCGAGCCAACGAGAGGCAAAAAGGCTTCGAAACATCATTTATCCAAAGCTGAATACACACGGGTAAAAAGGATCGGTACAAACATGAAGAGGCAAAGTGCAGATGGGCACGAGAGCCTTGATTGAAAGAAAGATCACTCTGATGTGGAAAAGATGTTGAAAAAGGTCAGATAGAAAGAGTTTTTTACAGTGATGTAGTGTTGGAGGATAGAGTGAGTGGGCAGCAGCCAAGACTGTGTTTGCTTTTCTCTCCATCCATGAGAGCTAATGTAAGAGCACAGAAGCAAACAGATAAATGGATTCGTGACGGCAGGTTGGCAGCCACAAACTCTCTGGGCAGCTCGACTGCATACCAGCACAAGGGAAATGTGACATAATTGATTTTAGATTTGTTTTAAGTTCTAATTTTTACCAACTCTTCCCATCTGAAACCAACCTATTGAAAGATGTATGGCACAGTGACAAAGCAGGTGAAATTGATTGCTTTGTCATGAGTTTATGTAAGGTGTGTTGGCGAACGCTGCTCTGCGGTGTGGAGCTGTGAGTCTGCTGGTTGGAAAAAAGAAGGAACAGCTTTCTCACCCTCCCACTCCTCCTCCTGCACTCCTACCGCCATTTGCTGCTGACCTCCAGAGCCTGAGCCTACATTCCTTTAGCTGCCCTCTCCGGAGACACATCTTCCTCCATCTCCTCAGGTTGACTATCTCACCAACAGCCTTCAACATCTTATTTTACATCATCATTTAAATATGGTTTTTGTGCTTAAGTAGGTTTCCCCAGTCAAGACACAACAAGCTGTCCTCTTTCTTTCCCCCTCGTCTTTCAGCTTAGCCTCTCCACCTGGCATGCAAACAATCCTAAATCTTCCTCAACTTTCACTCTGAGGTTAACAGACAGCTGAAATCTTACTTTTTCAAATAATCTCATACGACAGACATTTGCTACAAAAAGGGGAAAAACAAGAAGACATCCAATGCTTTCTGACCGGATTCAAGAGGTATTCACAGGTGGTTTGAAATGCAATTCAAATCCAATATCTGCCAATGCAACACAGCCCAAACCCTCGGATCATATTCCAAGTGTTTGATTATTTTTTTCTTCAATCTTGAAATTGCTAGCATACATTTTACTCTAGTCCAAATGCATCGTTACAGTGACATCTGATTTTGTAATGAAAGCAAATGATTGAGTGCCATCTAATGCTGCCTTTCAATGGAACCTGTCAGCTTGTTGTTACAAATTGGGAAGTTGTGCATACAACATGCTTGGCCTTCAAGTTGTACGGTCGGTAGAATAACGCGGCCAAATTGTTCTGCCGGTTTAGAAGCCACGAAGGCTAACAATTTAGCAAGCATGTAAGTTCACTCAGAAAATGCAAAGGCATAATGACAGAGAAAAAATATATAAGACCATTTGGAGTACTAACATATTCCTATTTTATATATACATACCCATGTATTACGAACTAAAAACTCTTCCAAGGCCAGCACCGTTTCTTTACAGCTGCACCAAACATGTCGATCTTAGCTTTCAGGAAATGTTTGCTCACGAGGTTCAGAATACCACATTTGGTGGACGTCATACAGATCTTTGGGTGGGGGATTCTTACACAAGTATTTTTAAGAAGGTGGGGGTCTGCCCTTGCCATATGCTCAAGCCCTAAGGCTTGATGCTGGAAAACCTGAGGTGCTTCTCATGAACAACAGACTGAGGAGCCTCTAGGAAAACAATGAGCTTGCTTTCAGCTAGAAGCTGAGCAGATTTACATATCATTTGAACTACCAGAACTACCACTGCTGGCACTGATAGGAATGCATGTACGCACATAAACTTGTAAAACTTGAATTTACAAGAACACATACAAAAATATGAATTACTCTAAAGCATGTGTTTTTGTCGGCATACATGCATACAGATGGTCTATTACAGTGGTTCTCAAATGGGGGTACGTGGACCCCTAGGGGTACGTTGGAGTACTGCAGGGGGTACGTGAGATTTATTGTATGTTAATGAGAAGAAAAAAAAGATAAATATACCAATTTTAGGAAAAGTAACGAAGTTTGAGCAGTGTGGGTTTTATATTAATAGACTAGAGTTACACATATTTCAAAACATGAAGTGTAATAACTGCAGGTTGCCTCCCTGTCAGAATGACAAAGATCCTCAGTGAAGCACAAGCCCATGTTTCTCACTAAATTGTAAGTACAACTTATTAAAAAGATCAGTTCAATGCAACTAATGTCGTCTTAGTGTTATTGCATGATGTTAAAATTGGTTTGCCATGAATTTAGTGATGGATTGTAAACATTTGAAATGTAGCATTTAAGTGTTTCTCATGTGTTGTTGTTTTAATAAATCAGACACTGATGGTGCAGCTTTTTTCCCCTAATAAATAGTTTTTGCGCTGATCAGGGGGCACTTGGCTGAATTTTTTTTTCAAAGGGGGTACATTATTGAAAAAAGTTTGAGAATCACTGGTCTATTAGACCTGACACGATGGGATATTTATAAAAGATCCAAAGTCCCATATCCATGATAACCAAATACATACAAGTGAAAAGCCACAGTAACCATGACAGCTGCAGTAACTGTCCTTTCTTTCAGTCTCATCACAATGTTTTGTCTGCCAGGCATGCACATTTTAGATTCTTCACATTCAGAACTTGAAACCATCAGAGAGAAGAAACTGATATCTTGAAAGTGATACCCAGAGAAATCATGGGGAAAATCAATAGATGCCATTGTGTCAAAAGCCCCAACTAACTACTACTATAGTAGTAGTGTGTCCAACATTTATATGGTTCGTGGACTTGGCTTGAACCTCAAACACACTCATTCGCTGACTAATCTGAAAACATCGACACAAAAAAATCGGAAACATATTTAAAAAAAATTGAAAGGCTTAATTGATGCCAAAGAAACAAACTTTAATTGTGTGTTGGATTGCTAATGATTCATATAATTTCATTTCTTCGTTTTTCTTGGAAGGCTTATTTGCTTTGAGTCTGTATGTATCCTTAGGTCAATAAGTATGCGGTCATTGTGTCATAATAAGAACATTCAAAATAATGGAATGAACCCACTCACCCTCGGTTGCCAGTTTTCATATTGCTTCTGCAGATTGGCCCCTATGGTCTCCAAGGCCTTCTGTGGACTCATGGACAGAGGATCTGGCAAGAAAACAGAGTAAAAACATTAATTCACACAAAGCAAAAACGGGTCAAAGTCACACACTCAATCTGAACCAAACACCTGGAAGAGATGCATGATGTTTCTGATGTAAATGCTTACAGGAGTAGTGTGGTCTTGGTGATGCTTTATTTTGCCATTAAAGTTGCAGCTTATCTAAATGATTCAGCTTTATACTGCTGCACCGGCCGAATGTTGAAATAGAAGTATATTGGTAAAATGAAACAAACTAACAACCTCTGAAACGATCTAAAAAAAATACTGCTGATGTATTTGCTTTACTGTATGCATCATTAAGTGGTGAACATTTGATTTTGTTATTATAAGAACATCCAAGAAATGCAGAAATCAAACCTGAAGCAAGACAATCTCCTGGAAATCTATTATTCACCACAAATTAAACAGGCTGTCTATAATATCCAATAAAATGAGTTAATCAAAAAATAATAGGCGTTCAAGTACTGCAATTTTATGTTTTGTGATACGATATTGACCCTATCAATTTTAAAGAATAGTTGACATGCAATGATTAGCAATTCCCAATTTACTCATGGCATAACATTTTTAATTCATATTTAATGCATATTGGCGTGTGTTCTGTATACTATGACAGCTTTTCTAAATTTGATTAAGGAAAACCCTAAATTACTAAATTAACCCAGATTTATCACATAACAAAGTTTTACCAAAAGTTGTTCCCGTAATACCAGCGAGGATGTTTATTTCCCCCTAAAATACAAGTTAATACTAGTATTTCAAACTTGTGATTTATCATGATCAGTCACAGATTTTAATTGTTATTAATGTGTTCCATTTTTTCATAAACTTTATTTTCCTTTTTCTTAAACAACACATAGTTTCAGTGACAAAAAAGTGCAGGTTGTCCATTGTTTTTTGTTCTAGCGCCGCCATTTTGGTGTCCGGTCACAGCAAGTCATTACAACAACAGAGAACACGGAGGAAGCAACAGAGAAAGACACATCGTGAATAATAAAGTTTGTGGATATGCCTGGGATTTGTTGTGCTGTGGGCTGTGACAATAGTCGCCAGAGGAACCCCGGACTACAGTTTGTATCGATCCCCAAAGACTTAGACCGTCGTAATAAATGGCTGGCTGCCATCAGAAGGGATCACTGGCAGCCGACATCTAACTCCAGATTGTGTAGTCAACACTGTTTCCGGTAAGCTCTTCACTTATTGTTATCTTTTAGCTTCTTTTGTCAGAAATACGTTTTGTTGCCGAATAATAATTACCGTTAGCAGTGTAATGGTAACATGGCACGAGTAAAATATTCCCAGTTTTGAAAGGACTGCATTAGTTTTGCTCTGTGTTCCTTTACACTTGAAACCGACTGCATTTGAATAAAAGAAACATTTCTGGCAGAAAACTGAGAAAGAAATTGCCGTTCTCAATATTATTGAATGCATGCCTTAAATTACTTGTGTATTTATATTACATGTATTATTGCTACTTTTACTTAAGTTAAGGATCGTAATACTTGTCATTATCTTATTAGGAGGCCTTATACACACATTAATATTCTACCATGTTTGCCTCTGTCTGCTTAGGAAGAAAAAATGACAACCCCATGAGTCCTGACTACATCCCCAGCCTGTTTGCGCACACGTCAGCTGGACAGCGGCAGAGAAGCATCTATGCCACCAGCAGATTTGAGCATACTCAGCAGATGAAAAGGACTTTGGTTCCTGATAGTGACCATGAGAATGTGGCACCTTCCAGCACCAGTGATGCCACTGGGCTTGACATCACCTTAGTTGAACAGGTAGAATGTGTGAAAGATGACCACAGTTACTCTCAAGCCATTCTTAGCTCAGGTATTGTGGAACCATGCTCAAATGCAGCCTGCCAAGTCAAGGCATTGACAAACGAGTGTGCACGATTCAGAGCTGAGGTTAATTGTCTAAAGGACAAAGTTAATGTGCTGTCTTTCAACGAAGAAGCCTTCAAAGGAAATGATGAGATGGTACAGGAACTAACAGGCCTACCAAGCTATGCTAAAATGATGGTTGTTTTTGGCTTCCTGTCTGGGTTTGTGAAAGCCGGTCCAAGACTGACTCCCTTTCATAGCTTTTATTAACATTGATGAGAATGAGGCTTAACTTACCTTTATATTTTTTTGTTTATCTTTTTCATATGTCTAAGAGCAGTGTTGTCAGAATGTTCAACAATACTTTAGATGTCATGTATGTCAGACTGTCACCACTTATATTTTGGCCCTCAACAGATCAAATTCAGGTTAGTCTGCCCATGTGTTTCAGGGATCATTTTAGCAACTGTACTTCCATCATTGACTGTTTTGAAATGTTTGTAGAGAAGCCAAATAATTTAAGGGCACGTGCACAAACATACTCCTATTACAAGCACCACAACACTGTAAAATATCTCATTTCTATAACACCACAGGGTGTTACATCCTTTGTGTCAAAGGGCTGGGGGGGGACGCACAAGCGACAAGTACATTACAGAAAACTGCTCATATCTTGAGAAATGATCACCAGGAGATGTTGTTCTTGCTGATAGAGGCTTCAATGTGAAAGACACGGTGGGACTGTATAATGCACAGTTGAAAATACCAGCATTCAACAAAGGCAAGCAGCAGCTGCATCCACTGGAACTTGAATCCACAAGGGGACTCGCTGCCGTCAGGATCCATGTGGAAAGAGTCATTGGCCTGGTCAGGAACAAATACACCATCCTTCAGAGCTGTCCCGCTGTCTCTTTGCCAAGCAGCCACTCAAGGACAACCTACTTCCCTTGACAAGATGGTAACAGTTTGCTGTGCTCTTTGTAATGTCTGCCCATCTGTGGTACCCACAGAATATATAGATACTATTTGTAAGTCGCTTTTGATAAAAGCGTCAGCTAAATTAAACAAAATGCTTATTGTGTATTCCCTTTTCTATGTATGTTGGATCTTCTCTCTATTATCTTTACAATTAATACATTAAAATGTCCAGTTTTGAACTAATAAACATCACTTTTTCCAAGTATTTGTTTCTTGAGGTTTTTTAAATACTCCTACTTATACTACAATGCATCTGCAAGTATTAGATACAGTTATTTATTGCACAATCTACAGTGTATGAATATGTAAGCTTAATGGGTAAACAAAAACCTGACCATGAAGACAAAAGCAAAAGACCAGTGTCTGACAAGAAGAGCTTATTTATTGTCAGCTTCTTAATGTCCCTCAGATGGTTTGTCAGAGGTTGCAGTGGGGGAGAAGCGTGGCACAGTAAACCATTTACCCAACAACTCTGGTAGTATCCCTGTTCTAATGAAGTTTACCACCTTTGAATGTGCAACATAAAACAATTCTCCATCAAACATGATGCGCTGTTTAAAACGTTCTTGAGGTGTCCACACAACAAAATCACAGAACATTACCTCTGCGACACACATTTGTGCCTGCACTTGATACATATAGCTGTGATTCAGCTTTAGGCTCATCACACCTCCCTCAGGGATGGTCAGGCAGAACCGCGAGTCTTTGGTGCATTCAAGTAGACTGCGGTCTTTAGCGCGGAAAGGACACTTAATTTCTAAAATGCCAGGCTCATGGCAAGCACAGGTCACGACACCATCTGGGGATGCACCAATCCATGGCAGCTCTGGGTTGAGGATGAGCCCTGATGCTGCAACATTGATGTCTTCATGGTAATCTTACCAGGTAAGACTTCGTGGCAGTGTCCTCGTTTTGTAAACCCCATCTGAGGAAAAGAACATGTTATTTTGGAAAAAGAAAAAAAAACTCATCACTTTAAAGAGTCCCTAAAATACTGTTATTAGAATGTTGATATCTTGTTTTACCCTCATAATATCTAGTTACTCAATTATTGTATTTATTCATGATGAAGTAGTGGAAAGAATGTATTGTTTAGTCTTGCTGCCTAAATGTATATATACCTGGTCGCTTCAGTGGAAAACTGAGGAGCGAGGATAGCAAACTCTTTTAATCAAAAACGAAGAGCTCTCTGTCTTGGCTGCCTCATGGAAGGATGACGCAGTAACTCTCCCTGCTCTCTGCTCAAACCAGACCCTCGACCTACTCTGTTTCCTGGTCTTCTCCTCAACTAACAAACACTCAAAAATAATTGAACTATCAAAAGAGCTGTAATTATCAGAAAGCAGTGAAGTTATTCTTAATGAATATAGTGATGTTTAGGATTTAGCATTGTGACACGCTTTTATTTTACCGTAAGCCATTTCTATTTCTTACCTGCTCTGGTGTGAGATTCAGCTCCTCAAAGACTTTGGCACCCTCCTCTAGCAGTGCAGGTAAATCCAGTACAAGTCTGCTGCTTTGATACAGACTGGTAAGGGGTGTTGGCAGATCCAGTTGTACAGTCTTTGGCGTGTATCTGTGGGAATGGCCTTCAATGACCGACAGGATAGCACTTTTCTTGGGCTTTGTCTCTTGTTCTTCACTTTGGTGGAGTTGTTCACAGAATAACTTGAAATCAGCAGCAGATGGTCTCATGTGCTGAAACAGGTCTTCGGTTTGAACTTGTTCTTTAATGGCGAAGATGTTAGACACCTCATCGTACTTCGCCATTTTAGTGCTAGGCTGTGTCCATGTGCATGGCTTCTCTGTGCATGTCTGGTTTTCTCTCTTCTCAACAGCAGCCACAACTGTAAACATAAGTGCTGCTGCGTGGGAACAAACCTCTCCTAACACTGCCATGCATGTACAATGCGCCATCACCACTGTCCCGTCCTCCTGCACCACAATCCATGTAAATGTTGGTTTGCTGTTCATAGCCTGGGAATGATTGACCTGTTGAGTGAAAAATGCAGTACATTAATTTTGTCATATAAAAGCTAAACTCTCCTGAGCTTGTACAAATGTAAGATTCAAAAGGTTTATTGTCAAATACAATAGCTACAACACAGATTGGCATTTAATATCTGAAGTCCCAGGATGTACAACATACAATATCCTTAAGACATAAAAAAACAAGTAAAGATAGAGCAACGCGAAATATAACAATAGTGCAAGTGACAGAGAATCGTGAAATAAACATGGACCTCTTGCTTATGTAAAACAAAATAAGAATTAATTTGTCATTGAAAGAAGAGTATTTTGCTTTAAAACAATATAGATAGCTGGAGTTATGATGTTAGCTAGAAATACCATTTGCTAGCAACTGGCTAGCAAGCTAACATCATCACTTTAGACATAAATACAACTATAATAACACGGTTTATGAATGTTGTTAAATTACTTACCTTCGCTGTGATCACATGTAGGTGTGTCTTCTCCACATGCCATATATTGGTGTCGTTCACCCACCCGGCAACGGCGTATTGATATGCATCTGTGCTCTTAAAAGCCTTCAGGCTCTCTCCGGTGAATGGAGATGGATTGTGAACAAGATAAATATATATGTCGGGAAAAGTTAGTTGGGGAAGAAACTTAGCCGAATTCAATAAACAAAATACAGTTGGGGGTAACAAATAGGGATCGCATCCAATAATCGCCGTCTTTAACAAATATCTCTCTCTCTCTCTTTCCCGTTTAAATGCGCTGTGTTTGCTGCCATGACGAGTGTAAACAAACTGTCAGAGTCGGTCACAAAGATGGCGGCGGGGATTCCGGAAATGACGTACTTGGTACCCATGAATAAGTCGCCTCGCAATTAGGGAAGCAAAAGCAACAGCGTTTGAATAATGTCTGGAAAGGACAATGTCGTCCGGGACGACTCCACAAATTGCAGTAAGAGGAGAAGGGGTACATTTTACTTTAAAGATCTTAGAAAACGTATCAAATATGGATGTCCAATAATTATGAAGATTTGGACATGTCCAGAAAGTATGGATGAGGGACCCTGTTACTGACTTACATCTGTTGCATAAGGGATCTACCCCTGGATAAATCTTTGCTAGCTTTTCCTTTGATAAATGAAGGCGGTGTAATACCTTGAATTGGAGAAGGCCATGTGTCTGGCACAAATTGAGGAAGAGTGAACTCTTTGAAGGATGGATTGCCAATTATCATCTGTTATTTCAAATGCTAGATCATCTTCCCACTGAGATCTGATTGTCGAAAGAGAGGGAGAATGCAGGGAGGAAAGTACATTATACAACACCCTAATTACTCCTCTATTTTGCACATGTATTGCAAGAATTCTATCTAAGGTTGTTTCTGCTGGTTTATTTGGAAACTGCGGGTATTTGCTACGTGTGAAATTTCGAATTTGGAAATATCAGAAAAGATGGCCGGGTGGAATAAAAAAAAATTCTGTCAACTGACTAAATTAGGCAAATACCTTGTTTATATACAGATCTTCAAAACTACGTATTCCTCCATTATTCCAGATCTTAACCTTAAGCCTGTTTTTCAGGTCTCGGGCTCGAAAATGACATTCCCAGAACAAATTACCATATCTTCCCTTCTAAAAGGTTTAAATTAATAATCTTGTTTCTCAAAGCAAGGTTACATCTGTGAGTTGGATGTAGAAGTGTCAGAATCAATATAGATGTTTTTATTTTTAAAGTAAATTCAGATAGAACACAGTAAAAAAATTTAAATTATAGTGTCCGTTAAAAATAATTACTTCTGGGGTCATTTGGGTGGATTTTCCATATCTCTGGCCCCCCTTGGTCGATTTTGACGAATGAAATCTCTTTATAACCGCTAGAGCCAATGGAATCGAGGGAAAGTTTCACATACACACACACGTTACCAAATAAGGAGTGAGAGTGACGCGTGGCCAAAACCGGAAGCTGCATAAAAATTGAATTATCATTGAATTATCATTTTTTTAAAGCGACAGACACATTAATTGGACACTATGGATTAACCCTCAGCAGCGTTTTTATCGTTTTAATGCCATTGAACACGACTTTTGATCAGAATAACAGCCAAGGTAAGAGATGTCTCGTAAATGCTCTGTAAAGCTCCGTGTTGTGATGTCTGTGTTTGCTTCCCCTGTCCCGAGTTTGGATCGCTCAGTGATGATACTATACCTATATAATCTGTGGAGTCTCAGCTTTAATCGGATATATTGTATGTGCAGTTACGTTAAGTAATAAGGGCATCTTTATCTTGAGTTCTGTGCCAAAGTCAGTTTGCATTTTTTTGCTTAGGGGTCATTTAGACGCTTCTTATGAGACTTGTGCTTTGTTTTGGTAAAAATGGTTCGTATCTTCAGTTAGCTGAGATTCTTCCTGTTAATCTGGTGCTAAACATTAATAGGTTTCATGAATGTTAAGAAGCCCTGAGACACAGTCTCGAAAAAAAAACTTTCACTTGCGCCTCGTACTTAAGAGGTTAAAGCAGAATCCATCACAGAGGGTGGGAACATACAGTGGGGCAAAAAAGTATTTAGACAGTCACCAATTGTGCAAGTTCTCCCACTTAAAAAGATGAGAGGCCTGTAATTTTCATCCTAGGTACACTTCAACTATGAGAGACAAACTGAGAAGAAAAAAATCCAGAAAATCACATTGTCTGATTTTTAAAGAATTTATTTGCAAATTATGGTGGAAAATAAGTATTTAGTCAATAACAAAAGTTCATCTCAATACTTTGTTATATACCCTTTGTTGGCAATGACAGAGGTCAAACGTTTTCTGTAAGTCTTCACAAGGTTTTCACACACTGTTGCTGGTATTTTGGCCCATTCCTCCATGCAGATCTCCTCTAGAGCAGTGATGTTTTGGGGCTGTCGCTCGGCAACACGGACTTTCAACTCCCTCCAAAGATTTTCTATGGGGTTGAGATCTGGAGACTGGCTAGGCCACTTCAGGACCTTGAAATGCTTCTTACGAAGCCACTCCTTCATTGCCCGGGCGGTGTGTTTGGGATCATTGTCATGCTGAAAGACCCAGCCACGTTTCATCTTCAATGCCCTTGCAGATGGAAGCAGGTTGTCACTCAAAATCTCACGATACATGGCCCCATTCATTCTTTCCTTTACACGGATCAGTCGTCCTGGTCCCTTTGCAGAAAAACAGTCCCAAAGCATGATGTTTCCACCCCCATGTTTCACAGTAGGTATGGTGTTCTTTGGATGCAACTCAGCATTCTTTCTCCTCCAAACAAGTCTAGTTGAGTTTTTACCAAAAAGTTCTATTTTGGTTTCATCTGACCATATGACATTCTCCCAATCCTCTTCTGGATCATCTAAATGCTCTCTAGCAAACTTCAGACGGGCCTGGACATGTACTGGCTTAAGCAGGGGGACACGTCTGGCACTGCAGGATTTGAGTCCCTGGTGGCGTAGTGTGTTACTGATGGTAGCCTTTGTTACTTTGGTCCCAGCTCTCTGCAGGTCATTGACTAGGTCCCCCCGTGTGGTTCTGGGATTTTTGCTCACCGTTCTTGTGATCATTTTGACCCCACGGGGTGAGATCTTGCGTGGAGCCCCAGATCGAGGGAGATTATCAGTGGTCTTGTATGTCTTCCATTTTCTAATAATTGCTCCCACAGTTGATTTCTTCACACCAAGCTGCTTACCTATTGCAGATTCAGTCTTCCCAGCCTGGTGCAGGTCTACAATTTGGTTTCTGGTGTCCTTTGACAGCTCTTTGGTCTTGGCCATAGTTTGTAGGTGACCAAATACTTATTTTACCGAGGAATTTACCAATTCATTCATTAAAAATCCTACAATGTGATTTCCTGGATTCTTTCCCTCATTCTGTCTCTCATAGTTGAAGTGTACCTAGGATGAAAATTACAGGCCTCTCATCTTTTTAAGTGGGAGAACTTGCACAATTGGTGGCTGACTAAATACTTTTTTGCCCCACTGTATGGTTCGAATAAATCGGTGATCGTATAGTAGGGATGCACGATATATCGCGTTGTGACGATAACCGCGATATGCGCATGCGCGAAATTCACATCGCAGGACGTGACGATTTTAAAAAAGGATTAAATCAACGATTTTTTTTTTGGACTTGCGTTATTAAGTAGGCAAATTAACTCAAACACGTTATGTTCCAATTATTTTGCTGCTTGCTGCAAAAGGAAAACTTGCGCGGCTCTCATGTCAGGGGTACTTGAGTGAGTGACATGCAGGCTCTGCATGCACAGCAAACCACCAATCACAATCAAATCTCCATAGCAAACAGACCCGGTGATTAAAAGGTAAAAACACTGAATAAAGTAGGTTCATGCGTTTCTCCAGGGCAGTTTGGCGCTGCTAACCGAGCTAGCTCAGCTTGTTGCTCTGATAACTTAAGATCCAGACGTCCGTGACTAAAATCCTTCATCCGGTTAAATATAGCTAAAAAAATACCAATTATATAGCATTAATGTTCAAGAAAGGATGGTTTGCGGAAGAAAAAAAAACGGTCTTTTCTTCAATTCCTGTATGTTTTCATATCGCAAATATATCGCAGGGGGAAAAAAAATCGCAATGTCAGTTTTTTCCAATATCGTGCAGCCCTATCGTAGAGACATCATATGTAATCCAAAACGTTTCCTACACTGTACCCAGATTCTAAGAGAATGATATACTAACGGATTCGCGTTTCATTTTTTAATCGGTTGACAGCATTAATTAAATTATAACCCGTGTATCATGATATGAATCACATGTTACCAATACACATCCCTACCAAACAAGCAGATTAATTTTACAGGCAGAGACACTTTCCTGCATAATGGCAGAGGTTAGTTATGATTGCAGCATCAAAGGATTTTACCGTTATAATAAAAGCAGAGTATGGAAAAGAAAAAGCAGCAGCACCTCAGGTTTAAATATTGATGAGAGTAAATCAATATGGCATGAAGAATAGCAAAATATAGATTGAAGAAGGCTAAAATTGCGCTCAGCAGGCAGAGAAGATGTATTGCAAGCCTGCAGGAGATACTGATATGCTTTATGCAAGGTTATTAGTGGTTCCTAGAGTCTCCAAAAGTACAATGGGAGCCAGAGGCTTCAGCTCTCCAGCTCCTCTTCTGTGGGACCAGCTTCCAGTTTGTGGGGGCAGAAACCCATGGACCCGGCAGGAGGACCACGGCACCTACCACAGCCACCCCTATGATAAAGACTTGAATACTGGTCAGTGGTCACCTGCCAGGTGAGAGACAGAAAAACTAAAATAACTAAAACTCTGGAGATGACGGCCCGGATGCTGAGTAGCATGCATCTATGGGAAAGCACTGTATACAGTACAGAAAAACTGAAGTAGGACAAGAGAGGTGAAAGACTAGACTCAGCAAGCCTGAGCCAGCCCTAACTATACGTTTTATGAAAGTCTTAAGCCTGCTCCTAAATATGGAGACGGTGTCTGCCTCTATACCAGGAGCTGATCCCACAGAAAAGTAGCTTGGCTCTGGCTCCCATTGTACTTTTAGAGACTCTAAGCTTATATTATGAGCTCTTTAAGATATGATGGTGCCTGGCCATTAAGGACTTTGTAGGCGAGAAGAAGACCTTTACATTATATTCTGTGTTCTATAGGGAGCCAGTGCAGAGGAAATACAGGAGTAAAATGAGTAAGATAAACCAAAATAAATGCAGCATTGAAGTGTTTTTGGGATCAACAACGTTTTTATTCTGTAAATCAAATGGTTATTGTGTAATTGGAAAGGTGCCCACCACACACACCATGCTCACTGAAATGCAGATGTCAGTCATTTTTAAGCATCTAGTCGCTGCAATTGTCATCAAACACCTGTTGTATTTAAAGACCTCAACTCTGCCTTTACTTTTTAATATTCCAAAACACTGTCTCAAAAACTGAGTGGCAGGTCTGCACAGTGTCAGTGTCCCGGGCCCTTTAATGTGCTCTCCTCACTTCACACAGTCAGGAAGTCTCAGCGGAGCTAAGCAATGGTTTGGAGGTTCGCTCTCGATGGAGACGTTTCTTCTTCTGTTGTTCGTGTCATTTGGTTTGATTCAGGTGGGTGGGGGCAGGTGGTTTCATCCTTAGTTCGCAAACATCTTATGAATTAAGCTCCCATGAGAATGATCTCTTTATTCTTTGTGTTGTCCTCCTGTCACCTGTGCGACTTCTGTTTTAAAGCATATAGTATAAAACATCAGCAGTTTAGGTTTGACCTTTTAACCCAACTTTATGGTCAATATACTTCCTTTAAAAAGACAATTATTCATAACTTGACTTCATTAAAATATAGTAAATATCAGATGAAAATATCTTGACTATCACTGGTATATGTCTAAATGTTGTCATGATTCTGTTATTAAAACATTTCAAATGTTGAATCTAATGATTTTTTTCCTGTGAACAACGTACTATGGAACTATCTGTTAGTTTTAAGGAATTCGATGAGATAGCCCCTTATTCTGACATTAAACACTTTTTTTTTAGAAACGGTCAAATTGGACCCGAGGACGACAGGAAGATGAAATGCTACAAAGTCAAAGCTAAACTTTTTGGAGTTGCCACTATCCTTGTATGGCTTGCCACTACGTAAATGTACTTTTGACCCATGGCTTTTCTGTTGTGTTAAACACTTACAGGCTGTTGGTCCAGTCCCTACATGTTGACACTTGGCATGCCTGATATTGTTTTCCTTCAGGCAGGGCCGGTCCTAGACATTTTGGTGCCCTAGGCGAGATTATGAGTACAGTTGCCTAGGGTGACACAGGAAGTAGTTTAATGTTGACTTGGAACCCCGTCGGCGGGGACCCTGGTTTTTTTTTTCACGACACTGTGTCTCAGGGGATCTTAATATTTAAGAACCTATTAATGTGTTATACCAGATTAACGCAAATAATCTCAGCTAACTGACGATACAAACCATTTTTACCAAAACAAAACACAAGTCTCATAAGAAGCATCTAAATGACCCCTTAGCGAAAAATGCTAACGGACATTGGCACAGAACTCAAGATAAAAGTACCCTTATTACTTATCGTAGCTACACATACAAGATATCCGATTAAAGCTGAGGTTCCACAGATTATTTAGGTATATAGTATCATCACTGAGTGATCCGAACTCGCGACAGGGGAAGCAAACACAGACATCACAACACGTACCTTTACGGAGCTTCTAGGGAGATCGTCTCACCGTAGCTGTCAATCTGATCAAAAGACGTGTTCAATGGCATTAAAACGAGAAAAAACGCGGCTGAATCGTTTAATCCATAGGTTTTTAAAGTCTCTGTATAAAAAAATTATTTCATTTATAATCCATAATTCCATTTTTATGTAATAATCGGAGAGCAAAAGTTAGTTGCTAATGGTAGCCACCAGAGTGGCTGCTGCTTCCGGTCTAGGCTATGTGGTAGTCTCACACACACACATTACCAAATAAGGACTATGTGGGAGTTCCCCTCGATTCCATTGGCTCTGACGGTCAGAAAGAGATGTCACGTCAAAATCCAGCAAGGGTGGCCAGAGATATGGAAAATCCACCCAAATGGCCCCAGAAGAGGGTTGTTTTTGCTAAATCTGTCTAAAAAGATCAAATATCACTTGTTTTGCATCAATCTTGATACAGGGTACTTAGTATATGTTGTACTTTGGATTCCTAAAGCTTTTAGTCTACTAACCCATCATCCAAGGTTAGTTTTCACTATAAGTACAAAATATCTTTTGGACGGACACTATAATTTACAGTTTTTTTACCATGTTCAATCTGAATTTTCTTTAAAATAAAAAAACATCTATATTGAATCTGACTTTTCTACATCCAACTCACAGGTTTATCATTACTTTGAGAAAAAAGATTATTAATTTAACCCTTTTAGAAGGGAAGATATGGTCATTTGTTCTGGGAACGTAATTTTCGAGCCTGAAACCTGAAAAACATGCTCGGGGTTTAACAGGTTAACAAATGAACAAACAACAAGCACAGTGTTATAGCTGATGAAATTGATTGATGATCATTGAATACGAATGTATACGTCCTCATGTAGGACATCGAAGATACTACAATGAGTGTAAAGAATAAGAGGTGTGACATCTTTAAACAAAGTGGTGCTATCTTTTCACATGATTTTCTACAGTGAGTTTATGTATTCGCCATTATAACAATTGCATCATAAATGCAACTAAAACCTCTAATTTCTGTATCTAGCACTTAAAATGGTCTGGCTTATTGAAAGCTCATATACTTGAAAGCTATGTTGATGTTGTATCTCCATGGTAGATTGTACAGATTCTGAGTCACATGGGATAAAAAAAAAGTCAGTTCAATAAAATGTAATGTAGTGTCAAATCCTGAGAAAGGCATCAGACAGCACAGAATGTACTAGTGTTGTCACGATACCAACATTTTGGTTTCGATACCGATAACAAGTCAAGAATTACGATTCTTTTTCGATACTTTTCTTAAAAAAAGGGAAACAGTCTTAAATGTAATTATCGTGCTTTATTTCACACCAGAACCATAACACAAACTTTTAAACAATGAGAACAATAAATAAAATAAATGACTAGAATCTGTATTAAATACAATTAAGCATCATCTATAAACAACTTTTTTGTTTTTCGCTTCTGGCGTCTTTTTTGTCAACAAGCTGAGGCGCAGCGGCAGTTGCACTCCCACTTGCATGCTTCTCGCTTTCTCGCATGCTCTGGCAGCTAGCGCGTGCACGAGAGAGGGGAGGGACTTCGAGCGTGCTTGAGAGGGGAGGGGCTGCAGGCACGGCTGCAGTGCAGGGAGTGGAAGCAGAGCGCTGAACACGCACTGCTCTTATTAAAACAGCGCTTTCTCACCGGAGTACTTTTCCCCGTCATTCTAAAAGTACCGATACTAATGAAACGGAGGAATCGTAACGTTTTTAACGGCAGGGTATCGCGGTACCTTTCAAGTATCAGTACACCGTGCAACACTAGAATGTACACATCGTATTTAAGGAGAACCCACTTTATCATCCCTCACACTTTGCGTTGTGTTTGAGTGCTTGGCATGTCATGTTGCCGAGTGTGTGTGCTCACCTATCCAGCACTCCAGCCGGGCGCAGGGGGAGGTCTTGACCACATCAGGAGGGTCCACTCCCACGTTGAGACACAACACCAGCGCCACACTAACAGTCTTCATCTGAGGGAGGAGAAACACAACATGGTCATCACATCATTCATCTATGAGCTAATAGAAACAGACCAGCAGTGATGGATAGTAACTAAGTAATTGTACTCAAGTACCGTACTTACCTAAAATGTTAATGTACTTTACTTGAGTATTTAATTTTTTTGAATAATTTGTACTTCTACCCCACTCCAATTCAAAGGTAAATCGGGTATTTTTACTCCACTCCATTTATTTCATACCATTAGTTACTTCACAGATCTGGATGAATGATGTGCAATATAATCAAGTGTTAAATCAGACTTTAGTTCCACCTGGAGTAAATCCACAAGCTACCCTGCAGTATACAAAGTCATTCAAACTAGCTGCACCTTTACCAGCTTTGAGAACACTTTCATGATCAATCATTATAAAACATATCATATATATTATTCTGAAATGGACCAATCTGCATAGTGAGTACTATTACTTCTTTAAATATATTTTCATGCTAATACCTTTGTACTCTTGCTTCAGTAACATTTTGATAGCAATACTTATAAACGGAGTATTCCTACACTCTGGTACTTCAGGGTATATGCAGGAATCCTGAAGTCAAATATAATACCTTTTAAGACCTTTTTTAAGACCCTTTCCATACATTTTAAGACCTCATCGCAACTTTGAGTTCTAACCGGTTACATTGGCGACACACTTTACCTCACATTTACTATATTGATTGTAAGATAGCACAACTAAACAGAGTGCAGACAGACTACTGAAGCCTCCTCTCCACATGAACTTCAACCTCTCTGTGAAGGTCAGGTTTAATGCAGTATGCTGCTTTGTTGCTTCTGTACTCTGTGCTCTTTCATTCCAGTAGAACTCCTCAGAAACCATTAGAAACCAGGATTTGACCAATAAACAAAACAATTGACAAAACTTTGAACTATGAAATATATGAAACTTTGGTGAGCTTCAGCGGGGTAATGCCATATAGGAGCTCCCTCACAAATACCCAGGGGTTAAATTGGGCTGGGGCTGTCCGGGGCTAAGCCCGGCACATAGGACGATGCTCTGACGTCATCACCCTCGCACATTTGTCATATGTTTACAAAAAAAACGATATATATGTTAAGACTTTTCTCGTTCTTAATATAGACTATATTTAGGGTCGATATGTGTTGACCTTAATTTAAAATAGCAGATCTCTGTGACCGGATATAGTTTGGCTTAGACCCCGGCCCCACGAGGACGCATACAGTAAAACGCATACGCAAAAAAGTCTTCCGTTCACACGCATTCGATTAATTAACGTGTCCGTTCACACTAGACCGCTGGAAACGCTGTAGTACATATGCCAGGCCTGTAAGTGGCGCTGCTGCCGCCACAAAATACACCAAAAGCAGCGAAGAAGACCCCGGAGCATGGTTGTTATGGTTGCCCTTCTGTTTATTCTCTGCGGTGGACGGCGTGTTCTCCTGCTGTATATCTCTCAGGTAGTCCACCAGCAGATAACACCCCCCCCCTGTCTGTCAGGCTGCGAGCGTGAATCTCTGGTGGCATTTCTATTTTAATATAAATGTTTTGGTCAGTATAGCCATTTTACCATTTGAATTTAATTTAAGCAAGTGTTAGTATATTGATCATGTGTTGTGATTTTTAACAGTATTTAGGTAGAGACTTTAAATATCCTCCTGCATTGTTTATCATGTGTTGTGTTACGTATGTGTATTATTACATTTTGCAAAACCAATCAAACTTTTTCTAAACAGACAGATTTCCAAGAGTGAGACAGAGGAGTTGACGTTCATAAAAAGAGACAGCAGGCCGGATTTGGGTCTGGTATGAATACCTGATGATATGAATTTAACGCAAAAAGTTGCAGATTACACCGAAGTCACGGGCAGCACGATTACAGCGAAAATTATGATCAAGATTGTTTGGATTAATATTGAGATCACAATTATTTATCACAATTATTCCTTAATTTAAGGTATAAAGTATTTGTATTGCACTTTTGTATTAAAAAAAAACATGGATCGCTGCTTTCACTTTTATGTTGGTTTGAAAACTTTGGATGAAAAAGAGAGCCTTTAAATAAGGTTCTCTTTCACCTTCAATGTAATGCATTAACTGTATAAGTCCTGTTGGCTTTCTACGTAAATTTCACAATTGATCATATTTATTTAATTGTACATCCCTAGAAATGTCCTGTCTTTAAATAAAATGAAGAGAGTAGAAGCATAACTGACTAAAACCAGACAAGTTAATGACCCATGACACAGAAGACCACTGAAACTGGAAGTAGGATGAAGGACAAACATTACATCTGAAATAAAACCATCAATTTATATGTCTGTCATATGGCAAGTCATATGGCAAGTCCTGACAACCACAACCATACGCGCGCGACTTGAATGAGGACAGTTAGGCAAACATGGCGTGGGTGTCCATGCAGAAGTCTGTTGCAACCTTTGATACAACGTGACATCATCCAGCATAGATCGAGGTTGGCGATTCAAAAATACAAGACCAAATCCGTAGAAGAGTACTTCGCAATTTGAACTGTGTATTTATAATGTAAACATGGGAATTGTCGCAACAAAGGATACAATAATTGCTGCTGGAAAAACTCTCCAGAGTTTATAATCTTGCCTCAGAGTATTATAAACAGCTAAGGAGTAATTATAGTATTTGCTCCACAAACTGGACTTCCTGGATCGTACTTTAACAAAAACTATGTTTGTCCTATTTTAAACAAACATACAGATACTCATTTAGAAATAGAATCACTGAACAACCCCTGTACTTTATATAGTCTTCTTTACCGCCATCAAGCTCAGTTTAGTCAAAATAAAATCATTGTAGAATGAGTTAAAATATATACTGCCTACAGCCAATGTCATATTTCCAAAGTCAAATCAATGATTTCCCGACATTTCTTATTTAGACATGAACACATGTTCTGAACAGATGTGTCATTTTAACACATCTATGAGTCTTAACACCCAAAAATGTACAATAGTGACAATATATCGTCTTCTAGCATTGTTCTCTTTTAAATAAAGCAGGACATATGTTGTAATACAGTATAGAGATATTCTTTAGGTTCAGATTTTTGGTTTAGTTTGTTGTAAAAGGTAACTCAGTGGATTACCGGTGCCTCGATTTCTCCTCTCAGCCACTTTTGGCCCCAGCAGGATACTGTTTGTTGATGGCACTGCTTGACCTGAGCTGACCCGTCACTGTTGCATCACTGTGTGAATTTGTGAATCAAAGTCTGGTAGTGTTTACTCTGAGACAGACGGATGAACTTCAGGCCCTGCATGTCCCCTTGGCTCCAATTATCTGTAGGTCAGCTACATGCAGGGTTCTTTAAAAAGGTCTCAATGCGTTTTCGCTGCTCTTTGGTAACAGTGTTACCGAAATCTGGTCAAATTCAGGGATCAATAAAAGGACAGACAGTGGTATAAAAAGAAAATAATGATTAAATAGAATTTTGAGGATTTTCAGTTAAAAAATGTCAATAAAAGACATTACTATAGCTATATGTCTGCCTGTTACAAAGACATGCAAAGAACTATACACATTAGGGGTGTTAACCTGTTAAACCCCATCCCTGTTTTTCAGGTCTCAGGCTCGAAAATGACATTTCCAGAACAAATGACCATAACTACACTTCTAAAAGGAGAAAATTAATAATATTTTATCTCAAAGTAATGATAAACCTGTGAGTTGGATGTAAAGAAGTCAGAATCAATATAGATGTTTTTTTATTTTAAAAGACAATTCAGATTGAACATAGTAAAAAACTGTAAATTATAGTGTCTGTCCAAACATTCTTTTTTACTTATAGTGAAAACTACCCTTGGATGATGGTAAGGTAGACTAAAAGCTTTAGGAATCCAAAGTACAACATATAATAAGTACCCTGTATCAAGATTGATGCAAAACAAGTGACATTTGACCTTTTTAGAGAGGTTTAGCAAAAAAAACTCCACCTCTGGGGTCATTTGGTTGGAAATGGGCGTTTTTGCCGTTTCTCTGGAACCCATTGGTCAATTTTGATGATTGACATCTCTTTTTAACCTTTAGAGCCAATAGAATCTAAGGGGGATTTCCACATACACACCAACGTTACCATTGTGAAGTGGGGGCTATGCGCATGCAGTTTGCCTAAAGAGAAACCTGTCTCACGCTATATGGATTATTAAAAATAATTTCAAAGTGACACAGACACATTGGATTAACCTATGTATTAAACTTCAGCAGCGTTTTTATCGTTGTAATGCCATTGAAGACAACTTTTGATCAGACAACGACGAAGGTAAGACATATTGCCGTGTTCGCTACCAAGCGCCACGTGTTGTGATGTCTGTTTTTGTTTATAATGTCGCAAGTTCTTATCATGGAGTGATGATATAGACACCTATCGATTCTGTGTATTCTCACGATGCTAATCGATATGTTGGATGTGCAGTTACGATAAATAATAAGGGTGTTATACCGTGTTTTCTATGCAAACGGCGTTAGCATTTTTTCGCAAGGGGCTAATTCAGAGGCTCAGCATTAGCTTTGTGTTTTGTGTTTTGTTTTGCAAAAAAAAAAAAAAAAGATCAGTTAGCTGAGTTTCTTCCCGTTACATGGATATGAAACATTCATAGTTTATTCAATCTTAAGAAGCCCTCAGACGCTGTTTCCTGCAGATTATGCGTTTTTCCGCCCGGGGGCGGGTCGATGGGGTTCAACAGGTTAATAGTTTCTAAGATGCATCGCGATGTGGACGAGGACGATTCTGAATCAATGCCATCACAGAAAATTATTGATTATAGAGTAGCAACGTTGCTTCTTGATTTTCCGGCCACAGCTGGACAATAACGTTGTTTTTTTTACTTTATTGAACAATTATATTAATATATTATAACAAGGCACATAAACATCAAGGTTCATTCTTAAATTCAAAATCTGAGGGCTTTACAATAAAGTTCTATAATAAATAATAAAATAACTTCCTGGTAGCAACGTTGCAT